TAAAAAAATCCGCATATATGTATTTACATTATGACATTAATTAGATTTGTTAATCAACTTATATCGAATACCCCAATGAGATATTGAGATTATATGGGACTGTCTACAACAAAAACCACCACCGAGGTAAATAACTCATTTTGTGTGATCAGATCCGTGATAGAAGCGCATACTGCGCCACATTTTCTGAAATCCAGGGTTGCTAAGTAGCAAAGTCAAAAACTTGTAAAGAAAACATTAATAAAAAAATATGTCAAAATAATGGTTGAGATTTTTTGCATCATATTATTTAATATTCTGTGTAATATTTATCATATGTGCTGGTAGAAAAAATTTGGGAAGTTGGTCAATTGTAACCATTTGATAGTGATGATCCCCCACAATTTACTAATCACGTATCACGCACGAATTAACTTTTTTTTCTTTTTTTTAAAAAAAAATATAATGTTGAATGAAATAGCAAGAAAGAACAAAAAAAGGAAAGAAGATGACCAAGGTGCCATCAAAGAATAAGTGTCATTTATCATTAAATGGTGGTGGTTACAATTGCCACAACTTGTTGCCATTCTAGTTTTTTTTAAAAAATGTTGCAAAAAAAACAGGAAAGGAAAAACTGAAACTAATGCCGAAGAAGCAGTTGAGTAAGTGTTTATCATGTGATGGTGGTTGTTATCGCCACAACTTGTTATTCTAGTTGAATTTTTAAATTTTTAATAATCATAATCTACTATTGATAAAAATTTTTAATTGCCAAATTAGTAAAGACCCAAAAAGAAAAATCATTGATTTAGATGAAAGCCAAATTATTCAAAATATAACTCAAGAACAAGATTCATATTAGTAAGTATTATTAGAAAAATTGCAAAACCAATACCCAAAAGACAATGTTAGAAGAGAAAAAATACATTTGAAAACATTAAATTTAATTAATTGATTTAACAATTATTGCTTTAATCTATTTTTTTAGCAATGTTCCACCTGACAACATCAAATTAGAATCTTCACATCTACGTTTCCTTAATGATGAAGAGTATGACATTAATGATGGTAGTATATATAAAGGAAAGATATTAGTCAGATCTTCCACATTTGACCTTTTTAAAAATATTGATGATCATGATGACAATCCATCATCATCATCAAAAGTAAGGAAAATAGATGATAATAATAATGCTAATTGTAATGATGATGATGATGATGATGATGATGATGAAGTAGAAGAAGATTGTCCTTCATTAGAGTGTATTTCAATCAATTATCATTACTAAATGGAAACTTCCCACAAACAAGTCTGTTGAAGACATATATCATGAAAATGTCTGTAATAATGTGAAATTATTAGGGTTTGTATTCATGGATACCATGAATACCGTTAAGGGGTTACACACTAATAAATCAGCAAAAAATCCCTTAAAATCACTTGATTTTAATAGTGTGTAACCCTGTGTGACCTCCTTATGTATCCGTGAATACAAACCCACCATTGGAAAAACAAATTTAAGATATGGAGCATCAAGAATCATCAATTTGTCTGCCCATATGTCTGATTGGTTTTCCATGATTGAAAGAGAATTCATGACAAAGAACTTTGATATTATAGTTCCAGATTTTCCTGCTGAAATTAACTAATTCATCTCACAAGTGGAAGAGGTTTGTTTTCTTGAGATCTTTTAATATTACCATTTTAATAATATCATGATAGAAAAGTAATTAAGAAAATAATTCATGTTTTCATTGTTATACAGATGGTGCATAAGGGTGATTTTAACCTTGCTTACAAATTATGCATCGATACACATTTGAATTCACTAACTGGCAGCTCTATTTATAAAATTACAAAAATATATTGTGAGTATTGCTTTTTTAAAATAATTGATATCATTTCCTATTTCTAATTTTCAAATCAATTTTTTATAATTATATATATATGTATATTTGTAGCCTTTATAAAACAAAGGATGGAAGAGATATGCTATTCTATGATAGCAAAAAGAATACTGAAATTGATGTTGTCATCTATGCCTTTTCATATATTATGGATTTGCTTAATCAAGGTCTTGAAATTCAACAGAAGTGGTAAGTTGAATGTAATTTAGTTAAGGATACGGTCCAGCACGTGATCATTTATTAGTAAATCCGGTTCTAAAAAAATGCCGATCAATTTCCTTGAAAA